AACACACAACACACAACACACAACACACAACACACAACACACAACACACCCACGCACGCACGCACGCACGCACGCACGCACGCACGCACGCACGCACGCACGCACGCACGCACTCACACACACACACACACACACACACACACACACACACACACACACACACACCCACGCACCCGCGCACCCACGCACCCGCGCACCCACGCACCCACGCACCACGCACCCACACACACACACACCACACACACACACACACACACACACACACACACACACACACACACACACACGCACGCACGCACGCACGCACGCACGCACGCACGCACGCACGCACGCACGCACGCACGCACGCACGCACGCACGCACGCACGCACGCACGCACGCACGCACGCACGCACGCACGCACGCACGCACACACACGCACGCACGCACGCACGCACGCACGCACGCACGCACGCACGCACGCACGCACGCACGCACGCACGCACGCACGCACGCACGCACGCACGCACGCACGCACGCACGCACGCACGCACGCACGCACGCACGCACGCACGCACGCACGCACGCACGCACGCACGCACGCACGCACGCACGCACGCACGCACGCACGCACGCACGCACGCACGCACGCACGCACGCACGCACGCACGCACGCACTCACACTCACACACTCACACGTGTCCGGCTCCTGGCTCTTTGTTGCAAGTCAAGCTGGTCAGTATTGTGGAGTATCACTTCCGCGACTGCGATACGAGGCCAGCATTTCCTTTGCACCTTCCCATGTCAAAATGCCGACATTTACGCCAGCTTATATCTGAACACTCGATGCAGATTTCTGTCATGCAATGATCTCGGACTTCATGCTCGCAATCCTGCACGCCACGACACACGCATCAAATTCTGTCGGAGATCTGCGTACTTGGAGAAATTTATGCCTTGATATCCCCCCATCCTCTGAGGAAATCCGCTGGCAGACTTTCGCGCGGCTGTGTCCAGCTGGCAAGTCTAGCCAACCCGGATCCAACACAACAAGCCGGGGCCCGGATCACTTGCCGCAATCTGACCAGCCGGGATGCCCCCAGAGACGCTTGGCTCACGCCTTTGCGCAAGTGCGCTAAGCAAACCTCAGCCCCAGCGGGACCTTCAAGTCAGAGGAACACTAGACGCCAGGCCGCTCTGACAGGCCGAGTGGGTAAAAGGATCCTTAGCAAGTACCATTGCGTTTGTGCGCTCTCTGGGCTCCATGGGCTTTGCAGTTTAGCAGGGAGAAAGTCATGTTCTGCGAACATCTGCCGAGTTCTGATTAAACTTGGCAGGTTGGTTTTCGCCTCAGGCTCTGTTAATGTGCCTTGGGATTGGCACTGGGCGTTCGCATTGGGGGCGTTGTCTCGGTGCCTTTACAATGTGCTACTTTTGCCATTTGTTCCCTTACAGTATGCGGTATGCGTTTGCGCTACAGTGAGAAGTGAACACTGCTGAACCCGTACGAGAAGTCTCGCCCCTACAAAAAGCCAAAACCTTGGTTTGCAAGCAGCGCCAGTAATTGCAGATGTTGCCACAAATGCTACAAAAGCAGCCGCCAAGCCAGCGATCCAGCAAAGACCGCCCAGTGGGGGGGGCGTTCAAAAGCCCATTTCTTCCGGTTGAACCGCAAAAGCTTAGAGCTTGCAGGCCAGTCGGTTCCCTCTCTCTGTGGCGCAATGTTGGCATGGAGTGCTCCTGAATATCCCACAGCTTGAGTCCAAGCTGCTTTCCAGAAGGCCGCTAGCTGCGCGCCACAGGTCTACCTGCGGCATAAGTTGTGTTAAGCATGGGCAGCATGGGACCCTGGGAGCAACCTGCGCCTTTGAACATGTTCCCATTGCTGCGGAGAAGGTCACTTGCTGTGTCTGGATGTGTCGATCCTGGGCTTTACAACTTCAAGACGGTAGGAGAGAACCAGGGATGAGAAGGCAAGAAAACTCAAAATGCTGACCAGCTTCCCGCGTTGTTTCCAATAAGTGCAAGGACGACTCCCAGCTCAAAGCGGCAATTGCTCCGACATTGAGGAAATCCTAGCAGTCAATCAAACGCGCTTGTCGGCACCTCTCAATGATTTCATGGCATTGTCTGCATCAAGTTGTTGCGTTTATCTTGCCCACCATTGTGATACCATTGTGGAGAACCCTGAATGCCGCAATTGACCAATTTCAAGCATTTCTGGATGCTCTCACTGAAGATGATTAAGATCCACAACGGTTCCCTGTGCTCCCCCGCGCCACTGTCGGATCAGGCGCATTGAGCCGACGTCTCCGCGAGCACTCCGAAAATAAGTCCAGGACCATCCTCCACGCTCGGTGCTGCGTGCAACTGGTGACTGCCTTGCTGTCACGGGCTTAGACTCACAGACACAAAAAAAGCCACACGTTCAGCCAAATGACCTACAGGATGGACTTGCTTTTCTTCCGTGTTGCTGTTTTGATCTGCTTTTTCAAATGTCTCCATTCGGGACATGTGGCGTTGGTATCCGCCAACAGCAAACGGCGTGTCGGACACAAGAAATGCTCCTTTCCTGTTAGCGCTCCCTACCTTTCTCTGGGGGCGTTTATCCGGACTGTCCTGCAGGTCAGAATTACCCGAATGACATTCCTGCATAACAGGAGGGTCAAACGAAACGTCCCTACTTGTGTCGTTTGGGGACCTTTCCCAAATGGACGAGGAAATTGCAGCAGAAACCGCAGGCCTTTTTGAGCTAGGGAAAAGACCAGGACAAAACAGAGGCAAACCAAAGGTCCCTACTACCCACCCAAGTCCTACTGGGGCCTCTGAGGAAAGAATGCAAACAAAAGAAAGAAGGAACCGTCAGCGGAACAGAGCTGCATTGCACCGGTACTTCTGGGGACCTGTCCCAACGCAAATGAGGAAGTTGCAAATAAACAACAGCACACACCCCAAGCTAGGGGCAAGAACTTGAACAAACCAAAGGCAAACCAAAGGCGCCCGGTATAGTCCCGTGAAAGAGCATGAGCAAAAGAGCAAGATGCATCAGCATGAAAGCTCGAAAAAGAAGTTGAACACATCACCTACACACGTCCGCAGAGAGGGAAAAGAAGATGAACAAAAGGAGGCAGAGTAAAGGTCCTCACTCAAGTCCTGCGGTGAACTTTCCAAGAACAAGAATGCAAACAAACGAAAAACGCTAGTAGTATCAGCATGTAGAGCCTTTCCGAAGGATTTCATCAGTACCCCTGTCCATCACTTCCAGAGGAAGCTGCGACAGACCCTGATTACATCTTCTAGCGACCATTCCAAAAAATGAAAGTTAAAAGAAACATCACCAACTAGGGAAGTGAACTTGAACAAGCCGAGGCATATTCAAGGCCCATTCGGACTGTTCCACCAGAAAGCTGCAAACGAAAGAAAAACAAAAAGGAAGCAAAACAGAGATTGGGTTGCGCCCTTGTCCATCACACGCACATGCAGCTTCTTAATGGTTTCCATTGCTGCAAGCGCTGCATGTGCAACGCATGTAAGAAAGCAATTTGCCAGCACACCCATCTCTGCTCCTTGCTATTACTGTCTTGAGGAAAAGAAACATCAACCAACTTTGTCAGACAAAAGGTCCCTTCCCAAATCGAGCCCTTCTTTCGCGCATGCGCGGTTAGTCACCAACAGCACCAACGAATTAAACGCCTTTTCAAAATCAAGTTTAAACTCAGTTTTGCCGGCAATCATTGCTGCCACGCCGAACGAAAACCAATGCGACTACAATTCGGATTCGCATCTAACTCAAATTCAATGTTGCGGGTAGTCACTACCAGACTACCGAATGAAAAACAACTTCAATACTGAACCTGTAAGACACGTGTAGGCGGAGCCTGAAACTTTGAAGCGCTCGCGTTACGTAAGAAGCCTTGGACTGAGAGGCATTTAAGCGCTCAAGCACATCTGGAAACTTTCTGTCTCCTCTCTCTCTCTCTCTCTCTCTATCTCCCTTTCTCAGGAGTTCGACATGGAGTTGGTGGCCTCCTCGCTGGACGCAAGCAAACGGCAACTCGAGAAGCCAACAAGTTGAAACAGATCGAGACCAAGGATCAGTAAGTCCGAGGGCCGCATCTGTCTGGCAATATGCTGCTTTATATAATCACAGCCCAAGCAAAGGAATCCGAAAAGAACACAATAAACAATAATGCTTGAACAAGCGTGGCCGCAAGAAGTAAAGAATGGGTCCAAGCACAAGTTGAGTTAGATGTCAAGTTGCTGCGCTGAAAACGAACTCGTTGGGGAGAATGCCGAGCTCCTTCGCAGACTGCACCATGTCCAGCGACTGCCTGTTAGCTGCGTGGTTCACATGTTCAGCCTGATCTGCTTGGATTCAAGCGTGCGGCGATAGTCTGAAATTTGACTCGGATCTCAGTGCTGGGAGGCAGGTCAGCTCCCTTCTTTGTCCATAGCGATGTTCCCAAATCCCTGTTGCCGCGCCCGCCAAGCAGCCCGCCCAGCACTTTCGCCAATCTTCCCCACCCCCAGCCCTGCACCCCCTTTGGCCTGCCTGCCCCGCCTCTCCATTTCAGCCCACCAGACTGCTCAGCCCGACCCCCACGTCCAGCTTCGGTTCAGTTCCCCTGGTCCCCAGCCTGGTATCATTCGCTAGGCCGCTTGCTCTTATGGGTCTTTCAAGCTGAGCAGCGCTCAGCGTTTGCAATTACTTTGCTGAGCTACATTGCGTTTTCTTGCCCCACATTTGGTTGGAAAACTGCAGCCTAGTCACGGCCACCGCCTGCAAGCCTGGCTTGCAGCGCCCCAGTGAACCACATCTATCTTCACACCTAGGTCAGCTCGAACGTCGATGATAAGTGTGCCTTCAGCTCAAAGCACTAAGTTCGTAAGTTCGTAGGCTCGTTCGTAAGTAAGCAAGTGTGAAAGCAAATGAGCCAGTAAGTAGGTGTGGCGGGCGCGCGGGCGGAGGGGTGGGCGGGCTGGCCGGGCTGGCCGGGCTGGGCGAGGCAGGGCAGGCAAGGCGGGGCACACCTGCGTACTGGGATGACCGGGAGGTTGCTAAGCGTTACGCCGTTTGTATGTGCTGACAAAGGCACGACGGCACCGCGCCATCCTCGCTAAACATCGACGCCCAAATTGCAAAAACGGATACTCCTAGAAACTGCCTCATGTCTTGTCACAAATACGATCTGTTAGCGCCGGGCTTTGCTAAACAACATGAGTTGTCAATGTGGTTGCATGGCTTATAGTACTGCATGTACAGCATTTGGTTGACTTAGCAGATACACATTCAAGACAATTATATCCAGTTGCTAACACTCAAATGGCAACTACCCGTCGGGCCGCATCGGCGTTGGCGAACGGCTGTGACATGCTCGGTTCAACACCAGCCCCGGAGCCAGCAGCCGTGTCTATCAAGCTCCAGCGGTCCCGTTCCATGACGGCCTCCAGAACTCCGTTTCCTCGCCACTTTGTAGGCCGTCACTGATCATCTCCTTGCCCGACACCCACCTCACAAAGTTCTGCTGCCCTGATCCATCAGCGCCTCCCTCAGCACCGCTGCATCGACGCTGATTTTCTGATCTGTCGTCAGCGTGCCATTTCCACTCCGCCAATTCTGAAATTTGGCTTCAGCAGCTCCGGCATGGCAGCGCAAAGAAAGTCCCCGCGTTCGAAAGCCTCCGCTGCTCAACTCCGCGCTCAAAGAGCACCTTGCCACCCGGCTGCGCGCCCTCCAAGATCGTGGGGTTGGCCAACATGCTTGCGCCACCTCCCTGGCTCCCACCTCGGTTGGCACCATTTCAGCAAGGTTGCAATCCAATCGCCAAATCACGTTCCGGCACTCGTACCACGGACCACAGTCAAGGCTCTCAGGCAGCCTGAAGCTTCCCCAAACAGGCTCCGTGCTGCTTGACTCCCCCAGATTCTCCTATCATTCGCATAATCCGGGCATCCATGCAACGGCGTGACATAGACTTCCCTCTCTGCCGGCAACGGTTTCCTGTGTAGGAGCCCAGTTTAGGGCTGGTTTAGGGCCGGTTTGGAGTTGGTTTCAGGTTGCTTTAGGGTTGGCGCCGGGCGGTTTAGGGTTGGTTTAGGGCTGTTTTAGGGTGACTGGCCGACCGACCGACCGACCGACCGACCGGCCGGCCGGCCGACCGACCGACCGACCGACCGGGGCGACCCGCCGACCAACCGGGGCGACCGAACGACCGGGGCGCCCGACCGACTGGGAGACAGACCGGCCGAGCCAAAACCCCAGCACCACGCAGCAAAATGGCCGCGCCAAACCTAGGAATAAAATAACTCGGGGACAGTGTGAAGTGGAAGGCGCCTGGTAACCTATTCAGACTTGAAATGCGTTGCTACAGTGGCCATTGCTGCAGCTTGCTTGGGGCTGCTTCTCCTCTTTAACATGAAAAGCTCGTATTTCGCAGTCCGCGCTTAACGCGCGTGTTCCCGCAACAGTTGAGCTTCAGCCGTCTGCAAAGGCAATTCCCCTTTGACCATAGTTCATCCTTTCTTTTGGCTTTCGTTTTTTGAAGCCTGGGCTGACTCTACCCCATCCTGCCGCAATTGAATCCTGCAACCTCGTTCACTTTACCCTGCGCAGGCTCCATCCTTCTTGCCAGTCCCGCTTTGAGTCAAAGCATCTGTTCGTTTGATTGATAGCAAGCAATCAAGCAGCAAGCGAGGCTTGTCAGCAGTTTCACCGGTCCGCCGGTTTGGCCCACTTCTCGCCGAGCTTCCTCCAGTAACACTCCACTCACTGTTGACCCGTGACAAGGCCCGCCTTGGCGTCCATGCTCTTCACCCTTGTCGCAAGGCTAAAAGGCGACCAGCGCTTTCTTGTCCCCAGGGCCGCCCGCTGAGCCGCGTGAGCGGTCTTGCTTGGTTTTCTTCAGCTGCTTTCTCGCCAAGGCCCTGCGCATACTGCCTGGCCAAGCCGCCAAACAATTTCTGCTTCTCGATGACGCGCGATCCCAGCCGAGCTCTGATCAACTCCAGTTGGAACCCCGCCAATCCTCCACCACGGACTCACAGGGGTCGTTCTCCACCAAGCCCGGCTCTTCAACCGCGTTGTGGACCTCCATCACATGGTAGGTGACCATGCCGATCGCCCCTCGGGCACCTGCAGCTCAAGCTCGGTCTGGTCGCCTTGCACACCGCCAACCTCCACGAACCAGATGTTCTCGCCAGTTCCCGCTACTCAAATGGCAAGGCGCTCTCTTTCTTTTCCGGCTAGCCGTCGGGCCGGATCGGCGCTGGCGAACGGCTGTGACATGCTCGGTTCAACACTAACATGTTAGCTGAGTGCGCAAACCTGACAACACGTTCATGGTCTCACATGCTTGGCTTGTGCTGATGGATTGCGGATGAAATACAATGCGTTGAAGTAGGCTGCCATGATGGCTAGCTACACATGTCAATGACAGCATCCTGCTTTCAGTTTTGTAGCCAATGTTGCATAGTTAGGCATAGTTATCAAGCATGCACTTGCGTAAGCTTTTGCGCAGCACATCAGCCATGATGCTCTTTTGTAGCTCCTTCAAGGTCTGTTGAGCCTGGTCCGCAAGACCCAGCTTCGCCAGTCGGCTCAAAATGGCAGTGGCCCAGCCTTAGTCAGAATGCACTGACGCAAATGCCATAGAAGCCATACGTGCAGCTCAAGAGCGTGGAACGCTTTTCCAGGCATGTGGGGCCTTCAGCGCGCACCAAACTCCAAATTCAATTGGCGACATGTACGGTACGAAGTCTCTCGCATGCAGGCAAGCCTCTCTTGCGCTTCCGCCACTGGCTTGCACGACTTTATCCAATGTCATTCCATGGAATCTGATGCCTTTCCATTGCCGCGCATTCAGCGAGTACGGGGCCTACACCACTTCACAGGTCACTCCTCTTGAGCACAAGACCATTCGTTGAGCAAGACAGGCCCAAGCAGCAAGCAAACATCGAATCAAAACAAAAAGAAGGGGCCAGGCCGAAGCATTATGGGAATGCCCAATCCCTCGCTCAGCATGAATTACATAAGAGCACTGAGTATCCAGCCCAAATTGGCTCCCGGTTGAGACGGCCAAGTGGTCCGACTTCTGCTGCCGCGCACTAAGCGGAGTTCTTGCCTGTCATGAGCCGAGCTCCCCCAAAGCCTTTAAGGAGCTCAGAAGTGAATAAGCGGCCTTTCTGTCTACGTGGGCCCGTGGCTCCCTCAGGCATACCTCGCTGCGGTGATCCTGGAATGCAAAGGGAGCAAAGATTTGGACCACCAAACCTTCAGAATTCCATCCTAACAACTGTGAGCAGCGATGGTCCCCCTCTTTCTGCCCCAAGCTGCAAATCACTGCCAAACCCCTGCAAGAGCAGCTCGCCACGTGGGTCAAGCTATCTTTGGCTCTGAGGGGATCGCCTTGGCTGCACATCTGCAATCAAAAGCTTATGAAAGGAGTGGGCATCCAACATCATGGGGTGCAATTGTCTGAGGCCCTCTATCTGTCTGTCGTTCGTAGATTCGAAATTCAAGGGATGTGAGGCCCAACATGTGAGTGGCGTGCCACTGAGCTACCCACCGCCCATCGAAGTCGTGCGGCACGCGCTCAGCTTCGTTTCTTCCTGAGGCTGACGTTGCCTTTCTTTGGATTGGCACCCTCATGCAAAATTCTTTGCAACGTGCGTTTGCATCGAAGCACTTGATCCATTCTGGCCTTGTGGCCTTTGTCACAGTCGGCTTGGCTGGCGCAGGATCTGCAAGCTCTGCAAGTTCAGCTCCTGTTCCGTGCCCAATGGAAGACACGCCCGGGCCTGTTGCAATGAAGCAAACGGCTGCAAGCACCTGCTTCGGGATCGCCGGGTGGCGCAAGCCGCAGGGCCTTCGCCAGGTAGCCTTCACCAAGGCACGACGACACGAACGAAGCCAAGCTCCCGAACCCCTTTCCGTCTTTCGCGGCACACATATCTACGCTTGAGACGTGCCTAGCATCAACAGGGCTGGCAGTGCCAGCGCAAGCTGCACGTCCCAAAGTCTAGCCTTGGCCGAGCTGAGATAAAGGATGCCCCAAATGAGATCTTGTTTGTTCCTGCTTTCTGACCATGAACATGATATCTTGGACGTCAGTGTCAACAAAATGACAACCAAAGAGATATGCAAACCAACACAAAAGGCAATGTTTGTCAAACTTAATCATATCTCACTGCCCCAACCTCCCCAGCAGCAGGGGTTGGCAAAGTGCTTTCTGGCACGCATTGTGGAATTCGCGGCTAGACAGGGAGGGGAGCGGGGGTCACGTGTCTGTGCGCGCAGTATATGACTCTGCAATGGCTCGAGCCTGGTCCTCGTACATACACTACTCTTCCTTCCTCAATAACAAGCGACCTCGCTCGCTTGATGCTGTCTGCAGTTTTGTGCTGAGCGAGTGAGTGAATGAGTGAGTCAAGAACTGACAGAGTCCACATTCCACGTTTCCGGAACAGACGCCTCATGCCGGAGAAAGCCAAGTCTGCAAAGCAGGATGAAAAACAGTCAGCACTGCGTGAAGGGCCGCTCAAAAGCACTGCGTTTCACAATTGTAGGGCTTACATGTCATGCGGGGAAGGAAGCCAATGCCCACGGCCTTACTCCGATTCATGAGTTGGAAAGCGCAGCTTTCTGTCGGAAAAACAAGCTGCCAGGCCTCCAAAACACGCCCGCAGCATGCGTTTAATATTTTTGGGTCCTTGCATCTCGGTGTCAATATTTGCCGGTGCCTTCAGCTCCTCAGGCCAGAGAGGCAAAAGTGTGTCTTGTTTTTTGAGAACTAAGCAGGGTGTGGGGGGGGGGGCGGCGAACAGCGCAACAAGCGAACACCAAGCCCACAGACAACTCAAATGAAAGCACCTAAACCCACAAACAACCTACAGAAAAAGCACCCCAAGCCCACGGGCAACATCTCCCAAGCCTTCAGACAGGCAACAGAATTCACGTGTGCGTGCATGGCGTCGTCATCATCATCATCATCGTCGTCGTCACATCATCATCATCATCATCACCACCATCATCATCATCATCACTCCTTCAGACCTATTTGATGTTTGGAATCTGTACGGCAATTAGTTGTTGCACCAAAATGGAGCGTCAGGAGAAGCACGGCCCCAGCCAAATGCAATGCTGGCCCTGCTTCGCTCCCCACACTATGGCAAGTGCTGCCTGCGGATTCTTGTCCACGAGCATCTGCAAATGCTCAACCTAGAACTCGAGCCACTCAGGCATGTTTATCAAAACAGTAGTGGCACATCTCTGTTTGACAGCCCTTGCTGAACGAGCAGTAGGAATCCGACACCCAACAGTGCTGTCTCCAGAGCGTCAGCAGCAGCGCGCGCTCCGCCTCAACAAGCATTTCCCGGTCGTGCCTCTCAAAATCTGTGGAATCCAAAAGTCCCCATACTGACATCGTGGTGCTGAAATCTGGCTGGAATACGAATAGAAATACCGCGTACAGTACACGTTGTCAGCTGCAACATGCACAGGGTATGCAACGAAACCTCAAGTCACGGGTGGGTGCGGTGCCTGCATGGCTACCAATGCCTCAGCGAACGAATTCGGAACCATTCTCAACAAATCCCCGTATTGCATGCCAGAATCCAATCCTCTGAGTTCCTGGCGCCCTGCATGCGCCGCTCTTCTTGCAAAGGCCTTGTCGGCCAAAAGCTGCTGGAGTGCCTGGAGTGAGCATCGTGGATCTCAAATCAAATTTTAAATCCAAACCCTATGCTCCTCGGCAACCTGCTGCTCCTCCAAAGCGGGAACCTGGAAATGCACAGCTTCGGGAAAAGTGAGCAAGACTTGCTGCTTCCATTCGCATGCAAGCCAACCATTTCACATGGAACGTTGCTGGATCTGGGAGTGCCACCGACAACCGTAGGCCTGCCCCGATCTCGGTCAGTAGCCTTCACGCATGTGTCACCGGTCGAACACTAAGCTGGAGGCCAAACACATGCTGCGTGAAACGCCACGTCGGGATCCTTTGCAAAAGGCTCTTTATACTATGAAATTAAAATTATGTACTTGGTCAGTGAGCTTGGCTTGCTGTGGAAACCTTTGTTAGGCTCCAAAAGTTCCGCGCCTTGCTGTGACCATCTGGTCACCCACGAATGGAAGGCCTTGGTGTTGAACTCAAGGACACGTGTCAGCTGTCAGCTGTTGTCTCATCTGTTTGTTAATGAGCTTACTCAAGGGGATGATGGCGCAACAAGAAGCTGTTGCGCAATCACGTAGGGACAAGCATCCACATGCTTGGGCCAGGAGCTATCAAACACAGGTAGCAACTAGCTGCGATGGTCCATGCATTCAATCTTGGTGCATTCGCCTCAGCCCCTTCTCCAGTCAGTCCAGGCCTGACTCAATTGAGTCATCAAGCCCCAGCGAAAGTCCTGCTCAGCCCAAGTCTGTCTTGCCCAGTCCAGTCCAACCCAAGCTCAGTCCAGTCTGTCCAGTCTAGTCCTGTCCGGGCAGCTGAGCCCACAGCAGGCTAAGTCCACAGCAAGCCCTGCCCAGCGCAGCTCTAGCTCAGTCCAGTCAGCTCAGCCAGCTTGGCGTAGCTAGGGAAAAACGCCAGAACCTGTCCAGTACGAGCCACAAACGCTGCATGCTGGGCCGGGCCGAGGCGGGCAACGCGAAGCGTCTAAAATCAAGCGCTTGTGAACCATGCAACTGGTTCCAAGAACCAGCAGTCTGAGCCATGAGCCAAGCATGGGCACGCCAAAATGTAGGGCCTGCACACAAGAGAGCGTGATGCATGTTGTGGATGGACACAATCAACTATGGCGCCTCATGCACAGAGTTGAATCCTCAATGAGTCAAGGACAAAAACTTGCAGATTGCCTGCTAGGCCGTGGCGGAACATACCAGTGTAACTTTCTTTAGACCCTTTGCCAACTTTCCAAAAAACCCTTTGCTTGTCAAGGGATCCAAAAGCAGGACTTAGACTTTGCAAGACTTCGGCCTAAGCCACCGGCCGCAATGCGTAACAAAAGCTTCGATCCGGCCGCTGCTCAGCACGCTGATCTGCGGCCTCGCCACCCAAGCAAATCCGCGGAAGCCAGTGATCAGGGTCACATCAAAGGAGCGTCGCGACTTTCTCTGGCCCGCGGGATTTTCCCATTTTTGTTGAGTTTGCTTGCGTTTTGCTTTGGGTTTGGTGGCATGTCCTTGTCGCCCTGTCGCCGCAGCTTTGCAGGACACGCGTTCTCTTTGAAGCGCGCCGGGCGCGAGCTTGAATTTTGGCGTGGCTCGAATCCTGCGGCTGTTTGGTGGATGCGGCAGCTGTTTGGAGAAAGCTGCTTTTGGAAAATCACTGGCCATTGCCCGTGCTTGGCGTTTAGAAGCAGCGTGGCCCAGAATTCAACCAAGGCGTGAACCACTGGGACCAAAAGTATGACTCCTGAACATCCTCCGCGTCGCACACAACTGGCGTACACCGTCACCTGCAACATCCTCAGCTTGCCTGCAACTCACGATAAGACCAGCTTGTGCACGCAAGTGACTCTCACCCAAACGCCAAAGTCAACGCGCTGAGCTTCCCAACACGCGTGCTGCAAGCACGTTCTCTGGCAGTGCCATGGCATGCGCCTTGGAAAGCTTTTGGAATCGAAAACACCCACAGCTTTGCAGCTTGTTTAGCTGTTTGAAAATTCAAACACCTACAAGGCATGGACTTTAACTCCACTTGAGCTGCGTATTGCTCGAAGAACAAGGCAGCCACGTCACCATCTGACAAGACGGCCTGGCAGAGTCGTAGCCAAAACACCCAAACGGATATGTGTCACGTTACGCATGCACGCTACTGCTTGCGCGATCCGACTGCAGCTCTCTCTGCGCCTGGACCTCCTCCTCTGAAGTATCCCACAGGAACCTGACATCCTGATGAAGCAACAAGCGACGGCACAGCTCCCATGAAGCAAACTCGTATATCGTACAACATTCTCCAAACCTGGCAAAGCCTGGCCTTCATGCGGGAAGCGCTTGCCAAGATGGCCTGAAACACCTGACTGACATGTCAGCTCAGTGTGCATCAAGTCGCCATTAATCAAAGTAAGCTTAGAAGCAACTTCAATGCATGCACCTGCGCGTGGTGTTTCAAGGCTACTGTAGATGGACTGCGCATGGGAAACAAAAAAACACAAAAGCTGGACAACGCGAGAACTGGGGAATATAGGCGTGCCGACAACGTGCCCTGCGCGTGAATTTGCCTACTTCCGCATGCGCACAAACCACCTCGGTCGCGACGCCTGTTCAGCGGCGGTCTTGGAATGCGTTCGGAAACGAGATCATTGGCACGGCCCGAGCGCGCTGTTTCGCAACCTTCAAAAGTGAACCCTCTGCAGACTTTCGGGGGGGTTCACCCTGAACAACTCGTTTTTTTTGCTTAACGATTTTCACTTGGCTCGAGAGACCCTCTACGAACTTTCGGAGGGTCAGCCTCGAAAACTAGGTTATTGTTTTCATTAGTTCACTTTTGTGGGGCTGGAGAAAGAGAAGAAAAGAGAAAGAGAGAAAGAAAACGAAGAGAAAAGAAAGATGAGAAAGGGAAAAAAAGATGAGAAAGAGAAAGAGAAAGACGCAAGAGAAAGAGACAGAGAAAGAAGAAGAAGAAGAACAAGAAGAAGAAGAAGAAGATAAAGAGAAAAGAAGCAGAGAATGAGTAAAGAAAAAGAGCAAGAGAAGGGGAAAGATGGACAAGAAGAAGAAGAAGACGAGACACAGAAGAGAAAGAAGGGAAAAAGGGAGAGACAAAGGAAGAGAAAGAGGAAGAGGAAGAGGAAGAGAAAGAGAAAGAACAAGAAGAAGAAGAAGAAGAGAAAGATAAAAGAAACAGAGAATGACAAAAAAAAAAAACAGAAGAGAAAGAGAAAGAAGCGGTTGAGACTGTAGTTGCTGGCTAATACTGGGCGGCTGATGCCACAGATTTAATCAGTGCACGCGCACGCACACTCGCACGTACCGACACACAAACACCCGCTCTAGAGCACACATTCTCTTTGGGGTCAACACTAATCTAATATTTCGAAACTTCCACGCCCCGGCTCCGCCGCACTTTAACTGGTATGGATCTATGCAGTTTCGCACAAATGCATAGCGGTGGTCAGCGATATGTCCCTGCAGTTGTCAATTTTTTCTGCTCTGTGCTTGGTCATCTGGCAAAGGCGAAATAAGTGACTCCTATGCTTGGGCTCATGAGGCATGTGCCGTATCATTTTTCTCGGAAGATCATCTCGCCTGTTGTCTTGGGCGCACATTTGTGCCGAAGGAGATATAGACCTAGCACAGCAGATATGGTCAAGGCAACTGATGCTGGGCGATGCCAAACCTATGCTAGCTGCTTTAGACTCCACTAGCCGAACTGTGATGACGATTGCCATGTTGTTGGTGCCAAAATGCACGACTGCACAAAACGCGGCTCAGCACACGACAATCTGCGTTGCACTGCCCAGCCAGTCTTGCACAGGCCTCGAGGCATCATCTGCACCCTCGTGACAAGCCTCTTGTGACATCTAGCAGGGTAACCATCTAGGAAAACAACAATTTGGATATGCGTTCGAGTTTGAACACATACGAACCATCGCAGGTCGTGACAAAGGCTGCATCCGCAGCGCAAATTACAGTGCAATATGAGGGGCAAGCATGCCGTCAACAATCAAATTGCTGCACTTGCAATGAAAGCCAAGACTGCTTCTGCGGTTGACTGACGGGGTAGTGTGATGACAGGGTTGTTTGAGACTTGATGCATGTGCGCAAAGTTCGACATGCTGACAAGATGACAAGGATGGTCAATGGCTGTGCTCGCCCTTGAGGTGCTGAATAGTTCGATATTTGTGGTACCGTGCTGTTGTTGGACATTTGCAGGCAGACCCAGACTACCTCTTTATTGACCATAGGGCAACAAGCCAAATCGAATTCCTTTGATTTGGCGCGTCCTTAAAAGTCCTCGGTCTTTTGGCTTGGGGCGACCAGGCGCCTGCTCCAGACCGCCCAATTTTCCCATTCAGGGCAAGGATAGTGCCTTTTCTCTGCCTTCTTTTGGCAAACATCTTGGTACTCTAAACATTCTGCATCATTCTGCGATGGACGTTGAATCGAGCCTCAAAGCAAATGCACCTTGACTTTGAGGGCTTCTCCCGACATGCAGCAAGCCTGCACAAAGCTTGATGCCCGGCCATCAAGCACAACAGTTTTGCACAAGAACATCGAGAAGGAGAAGTTGAGGAGAATGCAGGGATGGGAAATGTTTGGGAGTAGCCGGCAGGAAATGGGGGCAATTTGCCAACCCATTCCCGTCTACCTAATCCCCGCTTAAGAAAGACATGAGTCACCTGGCTCAAGGAGTTCAGCACGGCCAAAGACTTGGTAGGAAGCCCATATGCTTCAGCCCAGGTGCGAAGGATTGACACATGCGAAGGGAACCGGGGATATGACAGCTTCGTAGAGAATGGATACGTTTGGCCCGCAAGCCCGAATGAGGCATTGTCCACAGAGCAAGTCGCCATAACTTGCCAAGTCGAACCCCACCCGGGTTCCGTTCACGACTGCACTTTCTCAGCGCCTTGTCAGCAATGGCGCATCTATTGCCTTGGCCGAGTAGTCCTCCACTGACCCCACCTTGCACTGGGTCACCAGCCTACATTGAGCATGTGACTGTCCTGTTCTTGGTAGGCGGCCAAAAGGGCTCTTGGTGGTAGCGGCCGTGGCCGGTCGAGACCTGATGCACAAAAGGAGCAAGGAGATCAAGCAGCAAGCAAGTGACAGTTTGAGCCAGTAAGTCTGGAACCCCAATGGGAAAGGATGCACAGTAAGGGATGGCCTCAAACAATCGACGCTGCTCCAAAAGACGCTGCTCAGAATCACGCAGTGAGAACGTGCGGCCTCCGTTTGCAGCTGTCTGGGGCCTCGGCAGACCCCATGTTCAGCTGAACAACCAAGTTGCATGAGGTACTAGCACATTGACGGTGCAAGCTCTTCATTCTCGACGTGAATCTGATGCCATGCGCAAGCCTGATAATAGTTCTCCTACACGAGCGAACTTTCCTGACTCAGCTTAAGCCCCGGCGCTTCCAGCAACTCTAATCTGCCAAGGCCTATGGACCGTCGCAGCTCTTGCCTGCAGGAGGGCGGCAACAGCCCGGCCCCGACAAATCAATTTGGCTACCCAAACCCTGCAATCAAACAAAACAAACAAGTCCCAAACAAAACTCCCTGCCTTGGTTCGTGAAAGCCGGCCCAGGACATGAAAAGCCTTGTCAGGAGGCACTCAAATAATTCTAGTTCCATATCTGTCTCAATTTGACAAGCCTCAGCTCATGTATGGAGGCTCTTCTAAGTCATGCGGCGGAATGATCCAACCAAAGAGGTAGCGCTTCAGCCGGTCCGCAAAGGACTGGCTCATGGCAACGTTGTGCAGTTGCTGGGCTGATAACCGTCCGTGGCCTGCTGGTCGATGGTCTGTGTGAATGCGAAGAGCTCTGAAGGAAGCCTAAGCTCAGGCATGACTGGATGGCAAAAGCTGAGGCAAAGCCCCTGGCCAACAGAAAGTTCCTGCACTGGGCTCGACGGACCTGATAGCAGAATTCAAGACGAAGGAAGCAACGCAATATGAAGGCAGCCACTGAAGGGTGGGCCCCACCTGGGACTGTAAAGGCAAGCCTCCCTCTCTCGTTCGCGCAGGCCCCGCGCCGGCCAGGAGGAGACCACTGCAAAGCGCAGAGACAGCCTCGGACAATCTGCACTCACTTCAGAATGTCCTCGCTTCAGCCCTCCAGTGTCTGAGCTTCCCAGCTTTTCGGCCAAATCCATTGCACCCACCTTTAGCCACCAGCGTCAAATTAAGTAAACGGCTCGCCACCATTTGCACCTGTCGCTTCTCTCAAACAATATCCTGAGATTGCTTCACCAACATTCACCAACAGGCAAGCCAGGCTCAATGCCTGAGATCCCAGGCCGAAGAAACGTCGATTGCCAGAAGGCCTGGCCTTGAACAATTCAAGAGATGGACCTGTCCTTGGCCTGTGCGTACGTGCTTGTATTGGTGTTTGTGCTCTCGTGTGTTGCGGTTGCATTTGTGCTTGCGCTTGTGTTTGCGTTGCGCATTAGGTTTGGGTTTATGCTTGTGTTCGCCCTTGTGTCTGTGCTTGTGCTTTTGATTCCGGTTGTGCTTGCGTTCCTTTTGTAATTGTGTTTGTGCTTCTGCTTGTGTCGCGTTTGTGTTGCGTTTGTGTTTGTGTTCGCCCTTGTGTCTGTGTTTGTGCTTTTTGTTGCGGCGTGCTTGCGCTTCTTTTGTAGTTGCGTTTGTGCTTGTGCCTCTGCTTGTGTTCGTGTTTGTGTGCTTGTATTGGTGTTTGTGCTCTCGTGTGTTGCGGTTGCATTTGTGCTTGCGCTTGTGTGTACGTTGCGCATTAGGTTTGGGTTTGTGCTTGTGTTCGCCCTTGTGTCTGTGCTTGTGCTTTTGATTCCGGTCGTGCTTGCGTTCCTTTTGTAATTGTGTTTGTGCTTCTGCTTGTGTCGCGTTTGTGTTGTGTTTGTGTTTGTGTTCGCCGTTGTGTCTGTGTTTGTGCATTTTGTTGCGGCGTGCTTGCGCTTCTTTTGTACTTGTGTTTGTGCTTGTGCCTCTGCTTGTGTTCGTAGTTGTGTGCTTGTATTGGTGTTTGTGCTCTCGTGTGTCGCAGTTGCATTTGTGCTTGCGCTTGTGTTTGCGTTGCGCATAAGGTTTGGGTTTATGCTTGCGTTCGCCCTTGTGTCTGTGCTTGTGCTTTTGATTCCGGTCGTGCTTGCGTTCCTTTTGTAATTGTGTTTGTGCTTCTGCTTGTGTCGCGTTTGTGTTGCGTTTGTGTTTGTGTTCGCCCTGGTGTCTGTGTTTGTGCTTTTTGTTGCGGCGCGCTTGCGCTTCTTTTGTAGTTGTGTTTGCGCTTGTGCCTCTGCTTGTGCTCGTGTTTGTGTGCTTGTATTGGTGTTTGTGCTCTCGTGTGTTGCGGTTGCATTTGTGCTTGCGCTTGTGTTTGCGTTGCGCATGAGGTTTGGGTTTATTATTGTGTTTGCCCTTGTGTCTGTGCTTGTGCTTTTGATTCCGGTCGTGCTTGCGTTCCTTTTGTAATTGTGTTTGTGCTTCTGCTTGTGTCGCGTTTGTGTTGTGTTTGTGTTTGTGTTCGCCCTTGTGTCTGTGTTTGTGCTTTTTGTTGCGGCGTGCTTGCGCTTCTTTTGTAGTTGTGGTTGCGCTTGTGCCTCTGCTTGTGTTCGTGTTTGTGTGCTTGTATTGGTGTTTGTGCTCTCGTGTGTTAGGTTTGGGTTTATGCTTGTGTTCGCCCTTGTGTCTGCGCTTGTGCTTTTGATTCCGGTCGTGCTTGCGTTCCTTTTGTAATTGTGTTTGTGCTTCTGCTTGTGTCGCGTTTGCGTTGTGATTGTGTTTGTGTTCGCCCTTGTGTCTGTGTTTGCGCTTTTTGTTGCGGCGTGCTTGCGCTTCTTTTGTAGTTGTGTTTGTGCTTGTGCCTCTGCTTGTGTTCGTGTTTGTGTGCTTGTATTGGTGTTTGTGCTCTCGTGTGTTGCGGTTGCATTTGTGCTTGCGCTTGTGTGTGCGTTGCGCATTAGGTTTGGGTTTATGCTTGTGTTCGCCCTTGTGTCTGTGCTTGTGCTTTTGATTCCGGTCGTGCTTGCGTTCCTTTTGTAGTTGTGTTTGTGCTTCTGCTTGTGTCGCGTTTGTGTTGTGTTTGTGTTTGTGTTCGCCCTTGTGTCTGTGTTTGTGCATTTTGTTGCGGCGTGCTTGCGCTTCTTTTGTACTTGTGTTTGTGCTTGTGCCTCTGCTTGTGTGCGTAGTTGTGTGCTTGTATTGGTGTTTGTGCTCTCGTGTGTTGCGGTTGCATTTGTGCTTGCGCTTGTGTGTGCGTTGCGCATTAGGTTTGGGTTTATGCTTGTGTTCGCCCTTGTGTCTGTGCTTGTGCTTTTGATTCCGGTCGTGCTTGCGTTCCTTTTGTAATTGTGTTTGTGCTTCTGCTTGTGTCGCGTTTGTGTTGTGTTTGTGTTTGTGTTCGCCCTTGTGTCTGTGTTTGTGCTTTTTGTTGCGGCGTGCTTGCGCTTCTTTTGTAGTTGTGTTTGTGCTTGTGCCTCTGCTTGTGTTCGTGTTTGTGTGCTTGTATTGGTGTTTGTGCTCTCGTGTGTCGCAGTTGCATTTGTGCTTGCGCTTGTGTGTGCGTTGCGCATTAGGTTTGGGTTTATGCTTGTGTTCGCCCTTGTGTCTGTGCTTGTGCTTTTGATTCCGGTCGCGCTTGCGTTTCTTTTGAAACTGTGTTTGTGCTTCTGCTTGTGTCGCGTTTGTGTTGTGTTTGTGTTTGTGTTCGCCCTTGTGTCTGTGTTTGTGCTTTTTGTTGTGGCGTGCTTGCGCTTCTTTTGTAGTTGTGTTTGTGCTTGTGCCTCTGCGTTTGTCGTGTTTGTGTTTGTGTTTGCGTTTGAGCTGGTGCTTATGCTTGCGCGAGCTCTTGTGCTTGTGCTTATGTTCGTGCTTGTGTGTGTTGTGTTGGTGCTTGTGCGCTCGTGTGTTGCGGTTGCATTTGTGTTTGCGCTTGTGTTTGCGCTGCATATTGTGATTGTGTTTGTGTTTGTGTTCGCCCTTGTGTCTGTGTTTGTGCTTTTGATTGCGGTCGTGCTTGCGCTTCTTTTGTAGTTGTGTTTGTGCTTGTGCTTCTGCTTGTGTTGTGTTTATGTTTGTGTTTGTGTTGGCCCTTGCGCTGGTGCTTATGCTTGCGCGAGCTCTTGCGCTTGTGCTTATGTTCGCGTTTGTGTGTTTGTGTTGGTGACTGCGCGCTCGTGTCTTGTGGTTGCATTTGTGCTTGCGCTTGTGCTTGCGTTGCGCATTGCGTTTGTGTTTGTGTTTGTGTTCGCTCTTGTGCCTGCGTTTGCTTTTGATTGCGGTCGTGCTTGGGTTTCTTTTGTAGTTGTGTTTGCGCTAGTGCTTCTGCCTGCGTCGTGTTTGTGTTTGTGCTTGTTCTTGCGCTTGCGCTGGTGCTTATGCCTG